ATAAAAGCACAACTGATTTTTTTGTGTTGCTCTTATAACCTGCAATTTTGCTGAATTTCTTTATTAGCTCTAATAACTTGCTTGTGGGTTATTTGGGATTTTCTAGATATAAGATCCTATCATCTATGCATAGAGCTTGTTTTATTTCTTCTTTTTCCAATTTGGATGCTTTTTGTTTCGTTTACTTGTTGAGTCGTTTTGGTTATAACTTCCAATACTATGTTGAACAGCAGTAGGGAAAGTGGGGATCCTTGTCCTTCTCTTCAAAGGGGGAAAATTTTCAGTTTTTCATCACCAAATTTAATGTTAGCTGTAATTTTTTCATAAATGCCCTTTATTGTGTTTTGATGACTAATTTGTTAAGTGTTTTATTTTTTTTTAAGATTTATTTATTTATGCATACAGAACTGGGGTACAGGCCAGATGCGTAGGGGCGGTGAGAGGATTCACCAGAGTCAGAGTAGGGAGCAGAACAGGCAGATTGATTAAGTACACTGCTGAGGGGAGCAGCGGGCGGATCATGAGAGGTCTGCCCGCTGTGTGGGTCACCTCCGGAGCCAGGGATTGAACTTGTACTGAACCGGCTGCGGCCGGCTTTGCAGTGCTGAGCTCTAACCTGTTGCACCACCAGGGAGGGCCCAAGTGTTCTTTTTTTTTTAATCACAGAACATGTTAGCTTTTTGTCAAATGTCTTTTCTGTATCAACTCAAGTGATCATTTTCCACTCCCCATTTATTCTATTAATGGAGTATCTTACATTGACTGACTTTTCTTATATTTAACCACTCTTGCATCACTGGGATAAGTCCCATCTGGTCATACTATATACTTTGTTTTATATACTGCTATATCCTGTATGTTCGTGTTTTTTGAAGATTTTTGCATCTATAGTCATAGGCATATTGAGCTATCATTGTCCTTTCGTATGATGTCTTTTCTCTCTTTGATATCAGTAGAATACAGACTTCATAGAGTAAGTTAGGAAGTGATGTCATTCCTTTTTAAAACTAAATAATATCCCAATGTATGGATTTACCACATTTTGCTAATCTATTCATTCATTGATCAGTATTTAGGCTGTTTCTACCTTTGGGCTATTATGAATAATTCTGCTATACACCTTAAAAACCTTTGCAAGTTTTTGTGTGGGCATATATTTTCATTTCTCTTGGGTTATATATCTTGGAGTGAAATTGCTGGGTTATATGCCAAATTGATATTTAATCATTTGAGGAGCTGCCAGACTGTTTTCCAAAGTCACTGTACCACTTTACATTCCCACCAGCAGCACACGAAGATTCTGATTTCTCCATGTCCTCAATGCCTGCAATTCTTTGACTTTTTGTCTGTAACCATCCTAGTGATAGGAGGTGGTACCTCACTGCTGATCTGGCCAGCACCTTCTCATGTGCTTATTGGCATTTTGTGATTCTTCTTTGGCGAAACACCTACTCAGATCCTTCACCCATTTTTCTATTGGGTTTAAAAATGATTTAGCCTTGAGGGCTTTCTGCATATTAATACATAGATTCTGTCTGGGATAGGTCCATGCCTACGAGGCTGTTCCGGGACTGCCCTCAGGTTCCTGGACCTGCTTTGTGCAGCATGGATTTGTGGGGCACCTCACATGTCTCGGCGGTGTACAAATTCTCCCCAGAGGTGCCCAGGTGCCCAGGCAGAGCGGGAGGTGTGGTCTGAACTTACACCTTGGCATCCTTCCCATCTCTGTCCTGCTTCTCTTCCTCCTTGCTGGTTTCTCTCATGATTGTCTCTTCAACAAATCACCTGCACCTTAGTCCTTACCTCCAGGTCTGCTTCTAGGAGAACCTGGCCTCGGAATGAGCTTGCAATGGCTGAGGAGCTAAAGGATGTCGGTGTTGCTAGGACTTGAAGAACATGGAGGTCAAGGGGGAAAGGTAAAATCAGGGCAGTGGGCAGGCTGGCCTATGCTTTCACAGCAAGGGGTGCGTCTTAGCTGGAGAGCCGCGGGGTGCCCCTGGCAGTTGAGAGGGGACTGACATCATTCTGCATTATCTTACGTTTACACTTTGCAGTTTCCTCTGTGTGAGTAGATGAAAAACATGTCGATGACATAGGCAAGGCTATTGTTTTAGCTGCCCAGTGGAGGCTGGAGGCTGGGGTTGCAGCGGGAAGGTGGAGGGACAGGGAAGCACAAGTTCAGTGCAGGATTGGGAGGTGGCAGCAGGGGTTTTGGGGAGCTCCAGGACAACTTGCAGGTTGCATGGATGGGCAGCCCTGAGAGGGCCGGGGTGGGCAGGCAGCGCAGGAGTCCCGTGAGCAGGGTGCCCGTTCTGTCCCTCTCCCGGCCGAATCTCCCACTTCACAAATGGGGGGAGTGGGGGCTGAGCAAGCCAGCAGTTCACCCAGGGTCTCCCCTCATGCCCTAGAGGTGAATGGGACCCCAGGAGTCCTGCTGCCCAGCCAGAGCACTTTCTCTCCTCCTCTCCGGGAGCCCACTGGTTCTGGCTTCAAAGAGCAAACAGCTGGGAGAGGTGGGAGTTTTGTGGTCAGGTGGGCTGGAAGCAGTTCACAGTCCCAACAAGACCGACACCTCTGTCCCCCAGGGCAGCCTGCTTCCTGCCTCCTGCCAGCTGAGCTATCTGGGTCCAGTGTGGGCAACACCAAGACATGAGGGTGTGGCGTGCCCGCCTCTGAGTGGCCGACAAGGTGGAGGCTTGCAAGCGCTCTTGGATCTGACATGGGTCAGACTGAGGTCCAGATTCGAGGCATCCCCTTCTCTATCCCTTTCCCTGCTGCGTGATCTGGGGCAGTCACCTCTCTCTCGTCTTCAGTCTTATCTGTACAATGGGGGCATCTAGAAGATGGTTTTGTATGCTTCGAATTGCAGTGAATGCAAATGAGGAAATGGACCAAAAAAGGAACTTCATAAATTAGAAAACTGAAGCCTGAACTTCTACTTGCAATCCGTTCTGCCTCTGCTCCCTCCCACTGCTTAGTGGACTTCTGGGCTTTGCTCTGCCACAAGAGGGTCACCCTCTGCAGAGGAACAAGGCCCATGTGACACTCTGGGATCCCGAGATTTTGTTATCCTGGCCCTGCAGGCTCAACATACCCACTGGTCAGAGGGGGTAAACTGAGGCAGCCCCTGGCTAAGTTGCCGGGCTATAAAGCCTGGTGTCAAAGGCAGGGCTCTCTGATTCCAGAGATGAGAAATATCCTTATCGGTCCATTTTCTTCGGTGGACAGCAGATAGGGTAAGCTGAGGGCCAGAGAGGGAAAACACCTGTCTGGGTGACACACGACATCAGCAACATTGTAGAAGTAGCACGTGAAGATCCTTCTTCCAGGATCTTCTTATTACCTTGCACACCAATCCTTGGGCTTTGCAGAGAGGCCCATCACCCTAGGCTATTTATAATCATGTCATGAAGACTTGGATTTCCTTGATAGCCTCCTCTTCTTCCCACCAGAACAGCCTGCACATTTTCTAAGAAAATTCCACAGTGGCACACTGCACCTCTGCTCCTCAGAATGGTCCCTTGGAAAGTGAGGCTTTGCGGACTCAAAGCTTTGTCGTAGCTAGTGAGAAACTGTCAGGGGCAGGGCCTGACATGGCCCCATCACGGGCAGGTCAGGGCAAAAAGTCAATAAATCAGGCCCCTCTGGCCTCTGAGAGACAACTAGGGACCCAGAGGACCAATTAAGGAATCCACGTGAGTCGTTAGGAATCCACAGTGGGGTTTATGGCTGACTGGTGGAGAAACTTCTTTCTTGATGCATCAGGTCATGAGGCCGGGGCTAGTGCCAAAGCATAACACTAGACAGTATTTAATGAGCACTTACTATGTTCCCGGCACCTTTCTAAGGTCAGTCCACATATTAGCTTCTTTTGTAAGTACAGTAAGCCTGTGAGGTCTGATTATTCTCATCGCGTGGCGAGAAAAGCAAGGCACGGTGAGGTAGCCCAGCTTGGCCAAAGTCTCACAGCTTGTGAATGGCAGGGACCAGGCAGGGGCCCTGTCCTTCCAGCTCCAGACTCCTGTGACAGTCCCCGGGGCCACATTGGCCGTGCCCCACAGAGACCTGAATGTGAGTGCCGCCCACAGGATCGAGCTCGACTAGGCAAAGCACCTGACACCAGCAGGTGCACCACTGGGTACAGAGGGACCACCGAGGGGACAAAGCCTGGCCACTGCAGAACTGGGGTCGGCCCAGGCTTGGAGATTCCATGCATCAGCGTGGTGTCTACTCCCAACTGGCCCCTCACTACAGGCGCTCGGAAGGCACGAGCCCGCCTCTCCAAGTCTCGGTTTCCCCCCCAGTAACATGGGGTGAGGTGAGTATCAAATTCACAGGACAGCATAAGACATTCAGGGGGTCCTACAAAACTTTAGAAGGGTCTTAGCACCAAGCTAGGCACCAAGCAAATGCAGAATAAAAGTTAGTTATTAGTGGTATTACTATTCATTAGTTTCATGTATTCTTTACTGTTGTATTTCCTTTCTGCATCTCTTTCTCCCCTCGCCCCCCTCCCCGGGGGGGTTGGTATGAGTAGACAGGTCGTTTCAATTCAGTTCTTCTTAAAGACAGAACAATGCACAAGATGACTTTGGGGACCCTCCCTCCCAGAATTCTCAGATCATTCAGCCCCTCCTCAGCCCTCCCTCATCCCAGTAGCAGCTGTAGTCTCTCAGAAGTCAGTTTCCATCCTTGCACCCCAGGTACGCTGGCTCCCTGCCTGTGGTTCCCACTGGCTGGATGCTGTTGCTATGGTAACAGCTTTTTAAAAGCCTTCACCCTGCTCCCCCTTTCGAAGGCGACAGGCATGGATGGAGATGGGCTGATCACACGCGTCCTCAGGCCTGTCTGGATGGAAGGTGTGAGCGTGGATGCAAGCAGCAGAGCTGGCAGGGGGTGGCTGTGGGGGTGGGGCGGGGCGGAGGGGGGGTGATCAACTCGGCTCAACTGCACACCCACCTCACTGTTGCACGGGAACTGCTGGAGCAGTCGGTCACAGATTCAGATTCAAATCACCCCGAAGGGGCTGGTTTTAATGATCTGGGGTGGGGTTCCCTAGGAAGCTTCCTCTGATCCCCTCTGCTCACAGTTTTGAGCAGACAGGCCCGGACCACACACGGCAGGGATCTTCAGTCTTAGGAGATTCCTGGTGCATCGCGGGGTGTGAGGTTTGTGTGGCTCTCTACCGAGATGACTCTGAGAAATGTTTTGTCCGCTGGGGGCCTGCTCCGGGCCTGCCTCCCGCAGCTTCACGGTCTCACTTGTGAGAGGGAATGTGTCCCCCCCCCCCAACTTTGCAGAGCCAGGGACGTCTCAGGGCTGGGCCACCAGAAAGCCATCCTGGTAGTCACCGGCAGCAGAGACAGGCAGACTCACTGCGGACGGTGACACTCGGGGCAGGGGCTCGCAGGGGTGACTGGGTGGTGTGAAGCGCTGTTGGCCTCTAGATTCTCCGTGAGCAGAGGCGTGAAGCCTACCGCAGCTGTCCCTTCACCACCACCTGCTGGATGCGGCCAGGACTCCCATCATTTTTCTGGTTCTCATGACCTGCAAGACCCTAAGACACTGGCTTCCAGAGGCCACATCTAAGGAGAAGTGGGACAGAGGTGGAAGTTGAGGAGTTCAAGGGACCCAGTGGGAAGGGGAAGATGGTAGGAGCCTCGCAGGGGAGAGGAGTGCCTCTCCCTGCAATGCCAGGACATGGCTCCGGGAGAGGTTCTTGCGCTTGAGCCCGATGGTCCCACATGGCCAGAGGACACGTGAGAACCGAGGGCAGCAACATTCCCTCCTTAGCCCTGGACATGTGCACATCTGGCCTCCAGCAGGCGGCCCCGGGTTTGCTCTGCCCGAGGCCAGTTGAGCCTGCAGATAAACCCCCTGTGGACAACACCCCCTTTCCCTTCCTGGACTTACTGCCCGGCTTGTCCAGTGTCCCTGGCATCATTGCCAACTAGATGTGCCCTGGGACCCTTGTTCAGGGCCTGCTTCCCTGGACCTCGAGACGAGAACTCATCTAAACCTTCCCACCCTGATTCCAGATGACAGTCATGATGCCCCTTGGTGCCCCCCAGCAAAGCATGTGTGCCCCAAACTCTGGGCTGCCTGACAGCAAGACCCCTGGTGGTGGTGGTGGTGGGGCTCTGTACCGACAGCTCTTTCTAGAGCCGGTTGCGTGCCCTGCCTCGTCCTGCCCTCTCACCACTCCGTATGGATGAGTCAGGTCTTCCAGCAGGTTCCTGGAGCCAGGGCAGGTCCAGTTTCTGCGCTCCAACACTCTGAATGCTCAGGGGCCCTATCCTGATGGGACTGGCCGGGGCCCCCCAGCTCTCTTTGCAGCTGAACCCTAGCTGCCACTCTCCGGGGCCTGGTGTGGTTGGTGAGGGCCCCCGTTAGAGGGAAGCCGGGGGACTTGTCTGGGGAGAGTCCTCCAGAGATGTCTGCGAGTCGGTGCCTTCAGAGGAGAAGCTGCCCGAGGTGGGGTGGGGACTCTGACCCCGCCCTGAGAGCCGCTGCCAGGGGAAAACGGTGGCGAGAAAACGCTCAGGGGCAAGGTCCAGGGCCTCGCGGGGATCTTTGGCTTCCTCAGCCTCTGCGGCCTGAGCAGACTCCTGGAGTGGAGCGCCTGCCTGGACATTTCTGTTGTGCGCCCCTTTGGGGGCTGGAGGAGCCCAAGAGGACTTTGATGAAGGATTCAGGCCCAGTGTGTCCCGGGGGGGCAGGGCTGGCCGTCCCCTGGAAGCGACTCCGCTACTCCAACCCTGGCCCTTGGAGGCTGCCCCCCTTAGTTCCAGCTGTGCCAAGTGGGAGCTGGACCCCGCCGGGCATGGACAGTGAGCCAAGGCCTTCTTCAGGAGGGCCTGGATCTCCTCGTGTCTCACCTGGGCCTCCTCCCACAGGTCCCGGCCCAGGTCTTCCCGGCTCAGGGAGGCCACCTGCAGCCCCATGGCGACGAGCTTCTCGGCGGGGAACTCGGACACCAGCCGCTGTAGGTAACGCTGCAGCCGGCGCTGGTCCCCAGGGCTGGCCCGCTGGGCTTTGCCCAGACTGAGCTGGGCCAGCAGGTCCTGACAGTCCATGTGGAACCAGGTCATCTGGATGACAAGAAGAGAGGGAGGAGGGGCTCCGTGAGAACAAGGCTGTGCCTCTGCGGGCAGAGAGGGGTTGGGGGAGCCCACATTGCCGGACTGAATTAGCAACAGAGCCTGGCGAGGCGAGGCCCCTCAGCATGGCTGTGACTTTCTCTGCTGACCATGACAGTGGTTCCCTTCTCTTCCCGGGGGACACACGGGAGGGCACAGTCCCCAGGAACTTCGGGGTCTTGGTCACAGTTTCATAGACCCAGAAGCCAGCAGGGACCTCCCCCCTTGTGGGACTCAGTTTCTCCTATAAAATGGGCGTTTGCACAAGATGATGGTGAAAAAGCCTTTTGCTTGTGTTAACCCCTTGTGAGCAGGGGGATGAGGGAGGCGTGTGGCTGATGTTTATTGAGCACCAACTGTTTGCCAGGCTCTGTGACTCTCATGTGTGACCCCACTGGCTGTACCAGAAGCCCATTTCACAGAGGAGGAAACTGAGGCTGAAATATGAAATCAGTTGTCCCGGGCTGCATTGTGAGTCAGGGAAGAGCTGGCATTCGAACTCAGATCTGTCCAGCCTTTGCAAGAGTAACTTCAAGCGCGTCCTCTCCCAGGAGAAGCTGGCCCAGGCCGGGCTGTGCCCCCCACAGTCACACCGTGAGGCTCAGGTCTGAGGGACCCCTCTCTCCAGCCAGACCTCTGCCCCGTTTGGGAATTCTCCCTGTCCTCACGTTACCCACAAAATGTCTGCAGGCTGCAAAGGAGCCAACACTTTCCCAGCAGCTCGTGAAAAACATAATCTTTCTCTCCATTAATTTAGAAGCCGACAGCGAGCTGTTAGGCTGTGGGGATTGGAGAACCATTTTCTCCGAGGAAACCATCTTTCCACGGATTAAGGGAACTTGTCTTTAGATAAATGGCTTCATATTCGTGGAAGCACACGCAGCTCATGGCTGGGAAAGGGCTCCATAAATCTCCGTTAGCGGCACAATCGTGTTATTATTATTTAGGGCCAAAGCTGCTACGCACTCGCTCTCCGCCGGGGGGTGAACCGGCACCGGCTGTCCTGTCTGTCTGTCTGTCTGTCTGTCTGGAATTCGATCTTCCAGGCCAAGCTGGACAGAGATGAATAGCACCTGAGATGTCAGCCCGCCTGGCCCCTTGTTGTGCAGATTAAATCAGGCCTGAGAGGAGGGGCCTGTGCAGCTCAGGCAGGAGAGATGGCCAGAGCGGGGACTGGGTGAGGGCCGCCACTCCGCCTGACTGCTAGGCCTGGGTCTGCTCTGCCAGGCCACAGGGACCCTCATTCCGTCTTCCTCTGCTTAGCTCCTCACTCCTGCTCCATCTTCTCGGCTGGTTGCTCTCCTGGAGTCCCCTCTGGGTGCTAACCCTGAGGACGGATGGGACCAGGATGCAGCCAGACCTGGTCACTGCCTTGAAAAGCTCAACTCACAGGTGACAAAGTGACAAGCAGGTGATGAAGCAACAGAATAACCCTACGTGGGGTCAGAGTACCACCACGTGATGGAAACGGGGACGAGAGAGAATGGGCGACAGGATATGGGGGGCAGGAGGAGGCTCTGTGAGAAGTGAGCTGAGTGCTGAAGAAAAAAAGTCAGGGGTTGAAAGGAAGAGCATTTGGCTGAGGGAACAGCAACTTCAAAGGCCTCAGAGCTGGAGCAAGTTTGATTTACCAAGGAAGACGAATGGGTCTGAAGTCAGCTAAAATTAATGAAGGAGAGAAGCTTCCACCTACCCAATATGAGGTGTCACTTCCCTCCCCCCTACTTTAATAATAATGATGCCAATAACTCCAGGTTTAAGCGAAGCCCAGGGGGTTCCTTCTTCCAATTTTATTGTCACCACCTGGCAAGGCTGGCACTTGAGCCAGATGATCCAGGGTTGAATCCTGGCTCTGCCACGCCCTAGCTGGGCCATCCTGGCTGACTTATTTGACCTCTCTGTTTCTACTGAACTTGCCTCTTGGGGTTGGTGACACTCGAATGATAGCCGGAATGAAATGACTGGAACAGCCCTGGCACGTAATACGAACTATGTGCGTACTGATTATTTCTATTATCATCCCCAATATTATGGATGAGGAGCTGAGGCTCCGCACAGTGAAGCCTCCCGTGCAGGTCACCCAGCTGTGCAGACACAGGCCAGCCGGCCTCCGGGTCGCAGACCCCGCCCTCGGTGCTCTCTGACCTCAGCTCAGCTGGGAGGAGGGTTCCCTTTGCTGCACTGCCTGCCCATTCCCTGCTGCTGTCTGGGAGGGACAGAGTAGCCTGTCCTCCTCACACCCCAGCCTGGGCGGGCCTAGCCCCTCTGGCTGCCCTTACAAGCATCCTGTGTTCTCTGGCCCCTGTGCATGGGTCAGCCTGACAGCTGGGCTGGGTCAGGTTCCACCCCGCCCTATCCTCAGTGGTGAGTGTGAAGCAACTAAGGGCAACCAAGCCTGGACCAGAGATACAGGTTTTGTCTCAGCGGGGTCACAGCTCTCTCTGGCTGCTCCTGCACCCCCCCACCCCCACTCCAGGCCTCAGTTTCCCATCAGAAAAGGAAGAGGTTGGCTACATGGATTTAGAAGTGATGGGGGCTCTTAAATGAAAACCTGCTTTATGACTCACCCTCAGTGGACCTGAGCAAGTGACTTCCCTCTTTAGGCCTCAGTCTTCTCATCTGTAAAACAGGGCCAATCAGCCCTGCCCCTTAGGTCTGCCAGGAGATGACAGCTGCAGCGTGAGGAAGTTCCTCTTGCCTCCCACCCAAGATTACCTGTACCCAACACATGAAAGCACCACCCCTTCTTCCTGTCTCCGGGCCCAATTCTGGGCTCCTGGTGAGGCGTCTGTTCTCAGGGTGCTCAGAGCAGCCTCTGGGGTCCAACCTCAGCTGTCCCCTTCTCCCCGGACACCCCCATCTATGCAGGGCAAGGTGAGGCACAAGCATGAGCACTAGAATGGTGGCCACGGGCCTGCTGTGTGACTAAGCAACAGCCCCTCTCAGATCCTGTTCTCCCAGCTTGGCCTTGACTCCTTTCCCCCCATGAAGTTGCCTGCAGAAATTTACATGTGGAGATAAAAGATAAAACCTGGTTTGATCAGACTCCCGGAATCCCTGGCTCCTTCCCTTAATGACAAAGCCCGAGCAGCAGGTGCTTTTGGAGGGCCCTTGAGAGCTGACGTCCGGGTCACCTCCCGGTCACTGGGCGGCTGCCTGGTGCAGGGGATACTTTGGGGTCAGGGATCAGCTTGACCTGGTTTAGAAGTGTGGCTTAATTGCTCAAACCTTGTTTTCCCTTCTGGAAAATGCGGGTAATGCTTCCTTCCCCCCTCATGGGACTACGGGAGTGAATCACGCAGAGCGCCTAGCGCAGTATCTGGGCCACTTCCGGCCGCCACGGCTCCCCGCTGAGGCCTGCGGGCTGCGGGCCGGGCCGCCCCGCAGGTGGGACACCAGGCTTACCTACCTTTTTGCAGAAGTGGTGCAGGTGCAGCAGTGTCTCCAGGTCCGTGCGCTGCCGCTCCGCCGCCATGTAGAAGTGGGTCAGCTTGGCCTGAAAGGCCCTCTGGGTGGCGGTGAAGCTTGTCAGCTCCGGGAGCCCTGCCCCCCCAGCGTCACCAGTCCCTCCGGCTGCCGCTCCCAGCTGGGCCGCCTGCTTGGACAGCTCCAGACCACAGCGGTACTGGGCCTGAGTGGGGAGAAGGGGGTGTCCATTCAGCTTCTCTGCCCCTCTGAGCTCCCAGATGTCAAGAACATCCTGCTGTGGGATACAAGTGTCCCCGAAACTTTCCTCATTTCTACAGTGGGGGCCCAGGCTTGGCAGGCAGTACATTTCTCTGGCCAGGACTCTGTTTAGTGTTACTTCCTTCTGGAGAGTTTCCCTGACCCCAAAGTGGGGGTTGCGGGCTCCTTCTCTGTGTGCCCAAGTTCTCTCTATCTGCACTAGCCTGGGCGGTGAAACAGGCTGAGTCACTCTGCACTCTGCTCCCAGTCTAACACATCAAAGTTGGGGATTTCCTGCCCCTGCCCCCTGAGGGTGACTTAATAGGTCTAGGACTAGACCCTGGAATCTGCATTTTAGGCATTTTGAGATGGTTGTCTGCACCTGGTGGTCTGGGAAGGCTTCCTGGAGGAGGTAACATGTGAGCAGAATGCTCTATGATGCAAGCTGGTCTCACTGTCTCTAGAAGCTTCCGAGCATTTCTGCTTCCCCTCCTTCCTTTCTCTAGCCATTCCCACTCCCCGCCCCCACCCTCTCCATATGCTCCAACACTGCTCCTCAATTTTAGGAACGTACTGCGGCTTGGAGGAAGAAGTCCTCAAACTTCGCATGGGCTTTCTCCACCGCCTCCATGCTCCTGTCCTTGGGCGTCAGCACCTGCAGGCCCCAGCTTCCTTCCTGCTCCATCCAGTTGCTGACCTGGGACAGGAAAGGGATATTTAGGCATGGGGGCCACTGAGGAGACGTCCCTAGGCCAGCTCCCTGACATCCTTGGTGACTCAGGTTTTCTCAGTCACTGGGCTGGCCAATCCTAGGGCAGAAGTCCATGGTCAAGTTACTCAAATGTCTGAAGGGAGAGGACTCCCTGAGTGGGGCCCCAGGGACATTTGGCCAGGCCAGCACCCTGCACATAGTAGGCCTTCAGGGCACTTCATCTGAACAAAGTCACGGGGAGCAAATTTCAGTTTATTCTAACCACTCAGTGCCCGCCCCCCCCGCCCCCATCACACAAGGGGCAGCCTCAGGTGATGAACGGTGATGAGCTCCCCGTCCCTGGGAGGATGCAAGCTGTGCTGCCACTGTAGAGGACACGAGTGGTGCTGTGTGACCTGAGCACGTCCCTTCTCGGCATCAGTTTATCCAGGGTCTACAGATGTAGAATGAGGATTCAGTGAGGGAGAGAGGGCGCGAACAGCTCTCTCCAAAGGCCACGTCCCCTGCTTCTGGGGTGTCTCACAGAGCATGTTACTCTCTTTATCTTCAAAAGCCCAATGTAGCAGGCACTACATTGGTACTTGATATTTTCCCCATTTAACAGAGGAGGGAGCGGAAGCACTAAATAGTGAAATAGCTAATGTAAAACATGACTAGGAAGTGCTGGGGCTGGATTGGAACTCGAGAACACACTGCCCCCCACAGCCCCAAGCAAGCAGGTAGGGCGAGATGCATTGTTCTAGGCCCGGCAGGAAGTAAGGAAAGTGGCCCCAGGAGTGGACTTCAAGATCAGCCCCCAGTGTGTGATCACAGGCAGTGACAAAGGCTCTCCCAGCCTCAGTTTCCTCATCTGTGCATGGGAGAAATCCAGCACCTTCCCCACAGCACTCATAAGTGACAATGTCAGAAAGCAACGAAGGCTCTGGGCTGGGGCTTGGCACACATGGTGCTCGGCAGGTGCAGCGTTATGAGCACTGCTCTATGGGTTACGCTAGTGAGGCTGGGCAGCGTTTGAACCCAGATCCACCCGGCTTGGTTCATTTCCCCCCAGCATTATTATTTTTTTAAAGGTTTATTTATTTTTGCATAGAGAACTGGGGTACAGGCCAGAGGTGCAGGGGCGGTGAGATGCTTCACCAGTGACAGAGTGGGGAGCAGAACAGGCAGATCGATGAAGTACACTGAGGGGAGCAGCGGGCGGGTCAGGAGAGGTCTGCCACGCCATGTGGGTCACCTCTGCAGTGGGGATCGAACTCCTGCTGAAGTGGTTTTAGCCTCTTAGTGCTGTGCTTCAACCCCCTGCGCCACCAGGGAGGGCCCCCAGCATTATTTTATGGGTTTTGTGAGAACATATTAAACACATATGGAGTGCTGCCTCGTATACCACATCCCAAGAGCGCCTTGGGCCCCTGAAGGCTGCCAGCCGGGGTCCTTACAGCAGCACGCGCCTGGAGGGGCAGGGCCTGGCGCTCCACGCTGCCCAGCTCACCCTCCCCATTCACCTGGTGGATGGCAGCCTCCAGGTGGCCCAGGCGGACGCGGAGCTCCAGTCTCCCCAGGCGGTGGTTGGACGCAGTGACCAGGACATGCAGCTGCTCATCCACGAGGCTGTACAGAGCCGTGGCTTCAGCCAGATGGCTCCTGGGAGGCGAACGGTGACAGAAGGTTTGAGATGCAACCCCCCCCCCGTGGTCATGCCCCCATTCTGCCCCAACTCCCACCCACGATGTGGTGTCAGCCTGGGTGTGCCAGCTGCCACGGTGCTGTGTGACCATGGCTCGGTCTCTCTGTCTCCCTAGGTCTCTCTCAGCCTTGGCCTCCCATGGGATCCGGAGACCACAGGACCTAGGAGGGTGTGAACCAAACTGGGAGGCTCTGGGATCGAGTTCCAGCCCGCCCAGAAGGCTGTCTCGTACGTAATGAGAACTCGGGCAGATTTCTCAACCTTCCTGTGTCTCTGTTTTCATTGGTCAGGAGAGGGAATAACAGAACCTCCATCACAGAGTGAAGTGGATAAAATGATGGGAGCCGCCTTGGCTCTCACCCCTGGCTGCACATTAGAGCCGTGTGGGAGTGGAAACATCCGGTTGCTTGGACAGTCTCAGCCAACAAGGCTCGGAGCGCAGCCTGGAGCTCCCCGGCAGTGAGCTGGGAACTGTGTCATCGCTCAGAGCAGCGTCGGGCCCAGTGCCTATAGTGCCTATTATTTCTCTGCTATGATGATGAGAGGTTGAGACATGCTTCCATCCTGCCTCCATTTTGTAGATGGGAAAACCGAGGTCCAGAGAGAAGACGGGGAGCTCCTTGCCTGCAGTCTGAATTAGAAACCCGTCATGTTTTGTGCATGTGATTTTAAATAATGGTCAAAGCCAGCAAGACACAAATGAAGGGATACATCTGGGATTTCAGACGGGGTGACACATGGGTGAAGGGAGGAGCCTTGGGGTTTTCCCAGCACCCCTCAAATCCCACTCCACCCTCCTCTGCCTTAGGGAGTCTTCAGAATGATAAAGAGGTAAGGGAAAGAAGTCTGCCTTCCTGGAGGGAGCATTGCTTGGGGTCTCTCCAGCTGACTGCAGCCTCCCAGGGGTCACTGCCCTTCCAGGGAAGGGGCGAGGACCCCATGTGAGTGAATCAGATGGAAAAAGCCAGACTGACTGGTGCAGGGAGGGAGGAAGGGACAGGACGGGGAGAGCTGCAGGGACCTGTCTGCAGAATAAACACAGACAGCAGCTCGTGTGAGACCACAGCGCCCCCTGGTGGGGCTGCCTGCAGAGACTGGTCTGGAGGGGACAAGGGTGGACAAGAAGGGCCAGGAGCTGGACACTCAGGCATGGGCGTGATGGAAAGACAGTGCCAGCCTCACACAGCCCTGTGGTCTCAGGGAGGCCACTCCAGACTCAGCACCAGGGCGCACCACTTCCCAGCACTCATGTCATTTTGATCTGACAGCAAGCACAGCTAAGGGCATGTATTCAAGATGCTGGGCTGGGCTCCCCGGGGTCAAGTCCTGACCACACTACAGCCCTGCTGTGTGACCCTGAGCATTTAACGACTCTCAGCCTCAGTCTCATTGTAAAAGGAGAGCACCCCAGGACCCACCTCATAGGTGGGAATAAAACAAGTTATTGTTCACAAAGCCCTTAGAACAATGTTGTATATATCAGTGTTATTTAAGTGTCAGTTAAATAAGCAAATTAGTCTTAAAAGTTTAGACACACTTTGTAAACAATGTGTTTGTTCTAACAGAGATAACATTTCTAATTCCTAATCAATTTGCGTACTGATTCCCTCCCATCACCCCTAATTTAAGAAAACTGAAATGTAACTAACATATGATCCAGCAATGCCACTTCTGGATAAAACCACAAACACAAAAAGATACCTGTATCCCTACATTCTTTGCAGCACTATTTATAATAGCTAAGATAAGGAGCCAACTTTAGTGTCCATCTTTGGATGACCGGATAAAGGAAATGTGGCATGTGTAGACCCAACGGAATATTATTCAGCCATAAAAAATGAAATCGTATCAAATGTGAAAACATGGATGGACCCTGAGGGGATTATGCTAGTGCGATAAGTCAGAAGAAGAAAGACAAATACTGTACGATCTCTTATAAGGGGAGACTCAAATGAAAAAAAAAATAGGATAGAGAACACATTGGTGGCCGGGAGGGTTCTGGCAGGCTCGTGGGTGAAGGGGCCCAAAGGCACAAACTTTCAGCTATAAAATAAATGTCACAGAGGTGCACAGACAGCACAGTGACTCCTTGGAAGCTTCATGACTGTCTGGGTAGAAGCTAGCTAGACTTACTGCACTGGTTATTCTAATATATACAAATGATCATGTGTATAGCTGAGATGAATATAGTGTTCTATAGCAATTATATCTCAATTTAAAAAACAGACAGACAGTAAGTACTTTCCAGGGACGTCTATTATTTGCTCTGTGGCTTTTAGCCCCCGCTATACCACAAGCTTCCAGCCAAGACGGGCAGCGATCAGGGAAGGCCAGCTGGAGCTGGGGTTAGTGTTTGGATGGTCCATTATTCCATTTCTCTGAGACTCAGTTACCCACCAGCTAAGTGAGGATGATGTGGACCTTACCAGGCTCTTTCTACGAACAAATGAGGTGGCCCCGTCTGGGTCAGAAGAGCTTGGCCCATGGGGGTGATCAGAATCAGGCATGGATTAATGTCTATGTTCATCCAGGCTCAAGATATTGGGGGCTGAAGGGGGGGGGCACTGAGAAGAAATGGGGCACGTGGTCAGACCTCAGCGCAGGAGATGGGCCTTGCAAACACCACTCCACAGGGCCCAGCCTGTGTCCTCTGGCAGGGTGGACCCAGCTCACGGAAGGAACAGGCCATGGAACAGGGTGGGAGTGGGATAGGAAAAGCCCGGATGTCCATACCTGATGTCGGGGTTGAAGTCCATCTTGCTGGCCTCCTGCTGCAGCCTGGCCAGGGTGGCTCCACCTTCTCGCTGGAGGTCCAACAGCCCTGGGTCCCTCAACACAGCTTCCATCAGCTCCTTGGACTTGCGTAGACACTGGGAGGCATCCTGCCAATGTAGGGAGGTGGCCTGACACCCCATCCCCTCTCTCCCTTTAGAACCTTCCAGGGAGCTCCATCCCTACTCACACAACCTGCTCCCACCTCTGTTGAACATTCCAGGTCCTACAGTCTATTCTTTCTGTCTCCAAAACACCTCCTCAAGCCACTCCTCCTCTCATCACCATGTCAACTCCACTGGTACAAGCCTCTCTTGCAAGACACCTAACCCAGCCTCCTCACTGCTCTCCCCATAGCACTCTGGCGCCCCCTGTAGTCTGTGTGCCATATGGCAGCCGGAAGGATCTCTCCAGGGACTGCACTGCCCCTTGGAATCAAATCGCAACAGTCCCTGTCGGATCCAGAAAATCCTGCAGCTGCTCTCTCCTCCCACCCTCCCACACTGACTCTGTCCCACACGGGTCTCCCTGCTATTCCTGAACGTAGCAAGCACACTCCCTCCTGAGGACACCTGCACGTGCTTGCCTCCCCAGCAGCACAATCTTCCTCTCACTCTCATCCTTCAGGCCTCAACTTCAGAAAGCCTCTCCCTCCTTCTAGCATCTTAACTGTATGGATTTGGCACAGTTTGTAACTACATATCCATTTCTTCTTTCACTTTTATCTCTACCACTGTACCATGAGCCCTATGAGGGTAGACACAGGGCTTTGCTTCAGGCTGGGTCTGCAGGTCATGGCACACAGTGGGTGCACAATAAATTAATGACATATGAAGCATATTTATATGTATATCATAAAGACGTATATGTTACATATAAATATTAGTCAAATGAGTGCATAGAAAATAGGGTCGCTGGAAGTCCCCTTCCTATGCTCAGGTTTGTGGAATCTGGGGTGCAGTGTGGCTTCCCCACCCCATGCTCCTGACTCACCTGCACCCCACCAGGAGGGTCCTCCTTCTCAAACTCCTTGATGGACGCCCGGAGCAGGGAGGAGGACTGGCAGAGGTCAGTGAGGAAAGGGTCCAACTTCTGCAGGACAGAAAGCCAAAGATGGGGTGTCAGTAGAGCTTGTAGGGATACAGGAAGGGCAGTAGGTATTGGTTCTCAAACTGAAGCAGCATCAGAATCACCTGGAAATCTGGTTAAAATCTAGACTGCCAACCCCACTCCTGAGTTTCTAGTTTCGTTCCTCTGGGGTGGAGTCTGAGAGTACATGTCTAACAAGTTCCCAGGTGGTGATGATGCTGCTACTGCCCAGGGACCAGAAATTGAGAAGCACTGAGACTGGGAAAGAGAGAGGGAGAAGAAAGAAGACAGGCCTGCACCACTTCCAGGACAGTGCGGGTACTTGGGGGAGAGGGAGGAAAGGGTGGGGCGGCGGAACTTCCTCTCCTGGGTCCCACTTCAGCCCAGACCACAACTTACTAGCGGTGTGATCTTGTTCAAGTTACTTAACTTTTCTGAACTGTTTCCCTCTGTAAAATGAGATCGCAATAGACCCGGCTCTATAGAAATGGGTGAGGATTAAATGGGTTCATTTGTGCAAGGTTGAGAATAACTCCCAGCACAGAGTATTAGAAAGCAGCTTTATATTCTGGGTTTGTGAGTGAGATTTCATTGAAAGGAAGATGGTAAAGCAGACACAGAGTGCAAAAGTCACTAGATGACTCCCCTGTGGAGGGGGAAACTGTGCACCCAAGGGGTCAAATAGAAAAGAGTTCTGCCTTTTGTACCTCTTGAACGTATCACCTCCTTAACGTCAGACCCAATTTTGGAAAGCTGATAAACCGAAACCAAACGTTAATAAAGCACCAAGTGGTTAGTATAGACCAGTGGCTCTCAGTGGGGCATTTGGCAACATCTAGAGACATTTCTGGTGATGGCCTGTGGTAGAGGCAGGGTGGGGCAGCGGGGAGGGGTGGTAGACTCATGCTGCAGCACAAAAGCAGTTCCCAACGAGAAACAGTCACCCGGCCCCAGTGTGAGCAGCTCTGGGACTGAGCAGCCCTGGTCTAGGGAAAGCCCTGGGCAGACGTTTGTGGGTGCCAGTTAGGGTGGGGTTTCAGCCCGAGATGTCTGGTGTGCCACCCCTCTCCTGTGCAATCTCACCTGTTAAATTGGATGTGAAACGCTTCCTTGGCAGGACTGTGGTGGAGAGGGACTGAGGTCACGGGGGAAAGAGCCCAGCGCTGGCAATCTCTTCACCTCCTCCCTCTTAAGGAGGAAACACATCTGCCTCCCACACCAGCCCCTAAGCTCCCTGAGTTATGTGAGTCCACAGAGCAGATGTCTGTACATTTATTTTCCGTTAACATAGATAGAACTCTTAGCATGTGCCAGACAGTCTGCTCAGCTCTTTACCCAGAGGACCTCAATGAATCCTCACAATCTCTCCAAAAGGTAGTACTGTTATTAGTGCCCTTCCGACTTTTGTAGATCTGGAAAAGGGCCGAGACTACAGATAACTTGCCCAAGGTCACATACCAGAGCTGGAACTGGAACCCAGGCAATCTGGTTCCAAATTCTGGCCCTTAATCACCCCACTCTGCACTCATTAGAAACAGGTGAATAGCTGTTTTTGAGCCTGACAGGTGGAGGGATCCATGGGGCAGGGTAATGAAGAGAGAGAGGAGTGAGGATGAGGGATGAAAGCCTGTGACGGTCGACACCTGGAAGAATTGCACCCACTCGCTGTGACAGTAGGGGAAGGGGCCTTCCAGGGCTCCGGGCAGCTGGCTGGAATCCACATGGTGGCTGAGGGCCTTCAGTGAGGTCAGGACCTCTACCTGCAGATGAAAAAAGTGAGTCAGATGGACTCAGTGTGAGGACATGTTTGAGAAGGTCCTGCCCAGACCCTGCTCCAGCACCACCTACCTCTTGGCTTGAAGAGGTATTTTCTTGCCAACACATGTTCTCTAGAAACTGATTTGATTGACAAATCCAAATTCAGAACCAGACCTTTGCTAAGGAGTGGCAAATAGACGGCACTCATATAGCCATTCTCCTAGCTTGTGCCCAAGGCAGGCATCATTAATCAATCATAGCACTTGCTCCCTGTGTGTTGGGTTCTCTCTTCCCAGGCATTTACACAAATAGATTGAAGCCCTTGTCATGTAACCTCTCTGCAGTTCCTGTTCTCTAGCGGCCCAGGGGCTGTCCTCTTCTTGGGGCGGATGAAAATGGTCACTCAATCCTAACAGTATCTCCTAAGACTGGAGGAGGGATGGGTGACTGCTTATCCTGGGACGTGAAGTTTGAGATCGTGCAAAGTACAGCTCCAACTACCTACACTCGGCATTTGGCAGATTCTGTGGGTTTGGGGGGCCCTTGGACCGTGGTGGACCAGTGGTGTCAGCATCACCTAAGAGCCTGTTGGAAATACAGGATCCCAGGCCCCACCCTGAGCAACTTAATCAGAATCCATACTTTGATGAGATTCCCCAAGTGATCTGATAAAGGCTTGAAAGGCTCATTTCTAGCTCATAAAGTGCCTGTTTACTAAGCAGGAGGAAGGAGGAAACCTTTTAAATCACTTCCCGAAGTGGGGCAAGGGCGGGCGCCCATGCTCATTAGTGTGGTATATGGCACCAGTCAACAGGTCTGCCGGCACATTCTCGCACTGTCCCAAACCAACCCAACCTCTGAGCGGGAAGCGCTGAGACAACCAGGGAGAGGAAGGGTGGACAAGGCGCCTTGTCCAGCGTGGACCACAGGGTGGACAAGGCCCTTCTGCCTCCCTCTGACTTGCCTTGTGGCCTTGAGGCTCCGTTTCCTCACCTGGAGGAAAGGGGACTGGGCTCCCTGGAGGAAGTTTTTCAAGTAGGTTCATGCCATGTGCCTCTCTCCGTCTCCTGGTCGGAGCTGCTGGGCGGCCAGAGAGAAATCACTCTGTGGCTGATTGGGGGACGTCTGGCTCGGGGGCAGCCCAGAGAGCTGAATCATCCGGGACTTGGGTGCTAGGTGGCTAGATGGTTTTAGGGCTTCTGCAAATCCTCACTCCAGCTCACCTGCTGTTGCTGCCTCCCCCTCACCTGGATGGCAGGTAACTTCTCCAGCTGGAGAGCGGCTGCCTTCTCCCCCAGGAAAAGCAAGGCACAGATGGAACCTGGCATCAGGGCCTGTCAGAGAGAGTATGTCAGCGTTGCTTTACCAAAGCCTCCACTAAGATGCAGACAAATGGGCCGTGGGGGCGGGGCCTGAGGTTGGGACCTTTGGTATATTTGGAGGGTGAGGCATTGGAAGTCAAGAGAGCAGCAGCTTCAAGCTGTGTGGCAAACTTCCTCGATGCCCTGTCTCCTCTGGGCCTCAGTTTCCCTATCTGTATCGTGAGATCAGGCCATGAGGTGAACACATGCCAAACTTCCACTTATTCTGCTGCCCAGAATGGCGAGTAGGAGTCTTTCCCCTGCCCCACTCCCAGCTAATGAAGGTCAGTGTAACTGAAGTCTGAGCCAGTCAGCATGTAGCTTTCTCCCTCCAACCCCTTCCCCGCAATAAAGGGCTTGATGGCTAGAACCTGAGCCATTAGGGGTTAAGGAGACACAAAGAAATGTTTGCTGGAATCACTGAGGAAAGAACCTCATATTTTCCTAAGGACTTAAATGAAAGGCCATGTGAGGCAGAGCAGCTGGGAGCCAGACTGCCACCCAGAGTGGGTGCAGGAGCCAGCTGAGAGCGACGGGCTTCCGGGAGGACAGGGCCAGACGTGGAGAGAGAGGAGCCCGGTCTTGGTGACAAGGCTTGAGCCCCTGAATCAAATCACACTTGAAGTGAATTTACACTGGACTGTAGGGTCATGTGAGTTTGAGCGCCTTTGCATTAGGTTTTCTTCAGCTGCAATGAAGAGCTCTGCCTGGGTCTGCATCCTGCTCCCGACTCCGTGACTATCAGAGGCCCCTGTGGGTCCCGACATTGGCTAGCCCGAGGCTGTCCACCTCCCTGTGTCCACTTACCTGTGTGGCCTGAAGGGCGCTGAGCAGAGCAGGCTTTGGGAGTTGCTTCCTGGCATCGATCACAACTGCCAGCCCCTTGGTTTTATCTTCAGACCTGTGGATGGTAAACAGATTTGGAGTCTCTTGGGGAGAGGATGTAGTGGAAGATGAGAAAACTGACTGCTAGAAACCTTATTTATTGGTGCACTCTTTGCTGTAAGATCAAGTTCTAATGCTCTTTCTTCCTCTTTCTTCATGAGGAAGCCCTCATGATTATTTTCCAGGCAGAGTCCATTGCTCCTCCTTCAGAGTTCCCACAGGACTGCTCATAGCCCTATTTTATACCCGACTAACCATAAACTATAAGCCACATCCCAGTTGCAGTGGGCAAGTCACCCAGCATCCAAGCATCCCTTTTGTGAAGGCATAGCACTCATTTTATAAAAAACCAATTCTCGCCACATAAACATGTCCATCCATACTGGTTTCTGATAGGTTGAGGCCAAGAATTGTAATCCAATTCCCTCAGCCAATAATTAGTCTAGATTAGGGTCATGTGATGCTTTTGGCCAATGAAATGGGAGGGGACATTTACTGGAGGGGACTACTGGAAAAGTTTTAAAAGTTTTCACCAAGAGATTTCAAGCAGAAACCCAGAATGATGAATTTCCTTATTAGATGAGACCTTTTGAACAGGAAAAATACAGCCAAAATACCCTCACTAGATCACCCTGTATTTTTCAGTGATTACCCAGGATTTCCCAAAATAGGTCCATCATCAGCAGTTGTTAAAACACTGATTCCTCACCCCACCCATACTTTATCTGGGCAGGGTGTCTGTGCGGGTCCAAGGGCCCTTGGCCATTCTGATGATGAGGCGGGTTGGGAATAGAGCCACGGGCCACCTTCAGGCCTAGAAACCAGCCCTCTCCTGGGCAGTGTGGAGTAAAGCCATGCCATAGCCATCGTTTCTGGCCAGCTGGGCAAATTATCTCCTCCTGCCGGGCGTTTCCACCTCTACATGAAGATCATAATGCCATCGACACCCTGGGGCTCTGGTGAGGTGGATGAATTCACTACTGTAAAGTGCTCAGGGACTATGCAGAGAAGGAGGAATGTATCTGTCTGCTATTATTACTATTTTCTAAGGGGAAACTGAGGCTCAGATCTGTGGCATGGCAAACAGTGAGAGGAAGCTGTTAGAGGTGAAGCCAGATCTCTGCTCACCTGCCTCTGGCAATGACCCTGCTGGGAGAACAGTTTGCTTGCACATCTTCTCGACCACTCGCCTCAGGGGCAGCACTGATGTGAGGGGCACCTGAGTCCGTGGTGGCCAGTGTGCAGCTGGCCCCAAAGTTAGTCAAAGCAATGGTTCAAGCAGGAATGGAAAACAAGTTCAGTACACAAGAACTTGCACACCGCACTCTACGGTTTACACTGTACCTCATCTTCAACTCCTGTGACCATACCTAGCCACCCCCTTTTTTTTTCAGGTGAGCCTCAGAGAGGGCAGGCGACTGCCCCGAGGTCACACAGCAAGTAGGTGGGATTCCAGCTTTGTCTCCCTGCTGGCCGCTTAGCACAGAACATGGGGTCCCATCTCCCCCTCAGGCAGAAAAGCTACTCAGCTTTGGACAATAGGAAGAAAAGAATCTCAGTGACCAGAAGGTGGCAACGAAGGCTGCCGAGGGCGACCATTCCAAGATGGACTCTGAAGGGTGGCAGTGATGGACAATGTTGTTACAGGTCAGTCTGGGTCACTCATCACTCGCTCACCCCTTTTATTGTCTCATTCATTCATTTACACTTTCCTTCACTAGTTCAACAAACAATTATTACTCAGATTTCATTCAGCTCAATGATCACGTCTTCAGAGAAGTCTTCCCTGATCTTCCCAACTGAAAGTCACCAGCCAACCCCCACCCCACCCTCACCTTTTGCTGTGACAGTGACTTTCAAAAGGTGGCCCAGTCCCAGTTGTGCTGCATCATGAAAAAATATTAGAAATGCAAAATCTTCTTTTTAAAAAATTGTATTGAGGTCATGCCGGTTTCGAACATTGCTGATTTGGAGGAGCTTCACACCTCATCACGTGTATGTCCCATGCCACGCCCATCACCAAACACCCATAATCCTGCCCCATGGTCCCTTGCACCCCCTTTTCCCATCACTCCCCATGCCATTCCCCTATGGTAGCCGTAGTTCTGCTTTCATATTTGTATGGTTTGTTTGGTTTAGTTTTGTCTGTTCCTTTATTTTTTTATATTCCACACATGAGTGAAGAGAGCATGTGGGAATTTCTCCTTCAGGATTACTTCAGTCTGCATGGTCTCAGGCCCAAGCGCTCCAGAATGGGAACTCTCAGGGTGGGGCCCAGTTCTCTTAACCTGCAGCTGATTCTGGTACGGTCTCCAGCCTGAGACCCAAGGAGCCACCAGGCAGCTGTCTTCCTCACCACCCAGCACTCCCAACGGGGCTGTTGGTGGTTTGTTTCCTGCCCACCGTCCCGGACATCTGGGTGATGGAGACCAAGTCCAGCCTTTCTCCAGCATCTGGCTGGAACTGGCTCTGGGATCAGAGAACAGGGTGGGAGGACATGATGTCTCCCAACTGAGTGCCTGCTCTTGGGTTTGGGGACAATGGCAGAGGAAGGATGGCGTGGCCAGGCTGATCCAGCCCCTTACCTGGGGATGGCGCACAGGTAGGAGAGCAACTTGGTGACCTGTGGGGGGCTGCACCAGGGCGCCTCCCAGACCTCCTCCTTGGTCGACACCAGAAGCAAGGGGCGCCCCGTCCTGTCCCGACAGCCTGGAGGAGAGATGGCAGAGACTGAGAACTGTGCAGCCCTCCAGGGGGGCCTGCTCCGAGGCCTCCAGGCCTTTACCCAGTTGCTCCGTGGCCCTCGGAGGCCCTTTCCTTGTCCTGAGCTCCCTCTGAGCAGGACACCTAGGTGGCATCGCTGTGGCGTGAGCTCTGGGGTCACACAGAGTTCAAGCCCCAGCTCTGCAATGACTCGCTGGACACCCTTAACCAGGTCAAAGTTGCTCTGATGGCCCTCCCTGGCGGCACAACGGGTTAAAGCACCACATTATAAGCTCTCCAATGCAGCACGAGTTCTATCCCCACCCAGGGAGCTGACCCACATAGCACAGCAGACCTCTCCTGTCCTGCCCGCTGCTCCCCTCAGCAGTGTATTTTGTCAATCAGCCTGTTCTGCTCCCCACTCTGGCTCTGGTGAACCCTCTCACCCACCACACGTCTGTCTTGTACCCCAGTTCTATAAGCATAAATAAATAAATCTTTAAAAAAAAATTTGCTCTGAGACCCTCCCTGGTGGCGCAGCGAGTTAAAGCACAGCACTAAGAAGCTTAAGCCACTTGCGCATGAGTTCGAACCCTGCCTGCCCCTGAGGAGATCCACATGGCGCGGCAGACCTCTCCTGACCCGCTCGCTGCTCCCCTCAGCAGTGTAGCTTGTCAGTCGGCCTGTTCTGCTCCCCACTCTGTCTCTGGTGAAGCCTCTCACCACCCCTGAGCTTCTGGCCTGTACCCCAGTTCTGTATGCACAAATAAATAAATCTTAAAAAAATAAAATTTGCTCTGAAAAGACACTGAGCTCGGAAGGTTCTTTCAAGGCCTGAGTGGCCAGGGGCGCCACCGCAGCAGGTGTGGCATCACGGTGGCTGTCCTGTGGCCCTCCAGGGTGAGCACAGAGCCCCAGCGTGCTGCGTATCTTGCACGGGTTCTCGCAGGCTATTTCTTACACCAGAAATCAGAAATCCCCATCCCTGGGTAAGGGGCTGGGCCAGCCCGGCCTCTCCATCCCTCCTCTGCCCGTGGCCTCAAGCCCAAGAGTGGGTCCCCAGAGGGGTGTGCCCTACTCCTCCCACATGGGCCAAGAGTCTGAGGCCCAGGGAGTCGGCACCACCAGGATGCACTGGAGAGAGTCGGGCATAGTGGGGGGAGGGACCCTGGCAGGGCCTGCCTCCCATCACCTCCCGAGGGCCACCTGCAGTGACCACCACCCGCTCTGTGTGGGCACAGCTCCCTAAAGTGTGTGTGGGAGGCCCGTTATATCTCATGAAGCCTTGGACACATGGAGCCACCTTCACAAGAGCACATGGGTGCTTCATCTGGAACCTTCTTTCACATAGGTTCGAAATTTGACAATTTAAGATTACAAAATATCTACACTTGTATATATATTTAAATTTATAATGTACACCTGATACGTAATTTGGAATTTCTTATGTGTAATTCCATGTATAATGTGGGATATATCTGCATATATCATTTGGGATTTATAGATTCTAAAAGAAAAAAAAAACATTTTGTTGGGGCACAAGGGGAAATTTGAGTATAAACTGGGCATTGCATAGTCTCCAGAATTATTTTCAGTGTTGTCAGGTGTGATAGCAGTGTTGTGGTTATGAAGGGAAATCCCCTTTATTGTTAAGCGATGCCTCCTCAAATATTTAGGAGTGAAATTCAGAGATCCACACTTTACTTTAAAATATCTCAGGGGAGGGCCCTCCTTGGTGGCGCAATGGGTTAAAGCACAGCACTAAGAAGCCGAAGCCACTTCCGCATGAGTTCGATTCCCGCCTGCCCCGGAGGTGACCACATGGCGTGGCAGACCTCTCCTGACCCACCCGCTGCTTCCCTCAGCAGTGTACTTCGTCGATCTGCCTGTTCTGCTCCCCACTCTGTCTCTGGTGAAGCCTCTCACCCTCCACATCTCTGGCCTATACCCCAGTTCTGTATGAATAAATAAATAAATCTTTAAAAAAAAAATCTCAGGGGCAAAAAATGAAACACGTAAAGATGCTGAGATTTGTTAAACCTGGGTATGAGGTATATGGGCATTTATTATATCAGTCTCTACTTTTCTATATGTCTGAAATTGTTCTCTACTTTTCATAGCAGGAGTCATTCCATAGGACTGAGCTTTAATGACTTCCTTCAGGAAGCCTCTTCCCCACATCAGACCTGGGTCAGGGGCCTTATCTGTCCTTCACCGCTCCTGTATTTTTCTATGATGTATCAACTGGTTGGACATTCACCATCTATTGAACCTAGGCTTCCTGAGCACAGAGAACACACCAGACTTTCTCCCGGCTGAGTTCTCGGGCTAAATCCAGGGCCTGGCCCACAGTGAGTGCTGATAAGTATTTATTTCAAAGATGAGTGAGTATTAACCAGGTGTGATCACATGCCCTGCACTGGAAGGCCTGAAGGCCCCACCCAGTCCCTCCCATCAGGCCACAGCTCCCAGCCCCCAGAAGCTGTAGCATTGGCTCTATGTGGCTCCCAGATCCTCTGAGGATCCTCTTAGCTAGACTGAATTACAGGTGCAGCCCCGCTCCCATCCCAGCATCAGCCGCAGATGGTGGTACACAGACTAGACAAGTCTCTGCTCCTGAAAATGGACCCAGACCTGCTCCTGAAAATGGACCCAGACCTGCAAGTCCCCTGTGGGGTTTGGTTCAGCCTTGCTTCTCTCCTTCCCTTGCCCCATTCTGCCTTCCTCACATCCCTTTCCCCAAGAACAACCTTTCATAAATCTCTTTCCCAAGAACCCTGGTTACCAGTTGCTTCTAGAGAACCTGACCTAAGTGACCTCACCTAGGGCACAATGGGCGGACACCTAGAAACTGCTTTCATATAACGAGCTCCTTCCCTGGAGAGGTGAGACACCTGAGTGCCAGGAGACCAGCCCAGAGACGGCCTCCAGGATTTTCCCATCTCCCCCACACCCAGCAGCATCAAAGTGTCTCGGGGTCACTCCTCTCCCCCCACCCATCTCCTGGCCCTCCACCTCCACCTGCCATATCCCTGAGCACCTGGGAGGCACGCTATCCCGGAGTGCAAGAGCTCCGTGCTCAGAGCCCCAATCCTGGGCTCCGGGCCTGAGGGCTCGCCATCCAGAGAGGGGCTGCTTTCTGGATGGCTGGCAGAAGCTTCTTGGAAACCAACTTTCTCCATGGTCAGTGGGTCTGAGCCAGCAGCCAGGCCAGATGCTTTGGCCTGAGTTGTTCCAGCTGGGGAAAAACAACAACAGAGAGAAGGGTGTTAAGCAGAAGCCAGATTTCCCCAAGGGAAATGTCTTCTCTTCCGCCTTATGAGGAGTAAAAAGAGCTTACGGCTACCAACCCGCCTGCGATGTGGCAGGCATGTTGCTAAGCACTTGCCTCTGGTGTCTCTTGGAACTTCAAGTCTAGTTGGGAGTCTCACTGCACTTGGAGAGGCTAAGTCCTTGATCAAGTTTGTCCAGCTAGTGCGGACTGGGGCCGTCTTTGCTCCATTCTGGTCCCGTGAGCTCCCCAAGCCTTTGGAAATGCCACCCTGAGTGCTAAATCCCTGAGACTGAGCCAGTCCAGTCAAGTCTGCCCCGACTCCCAGTGCCACCTTGCAGCCCGGTGGCATCTCCAGGGCTGTCCCCCTGGTCCAGCTGAGCCAGGTCACCTTACCTTTCCCCAGGCGCTTGGCTCGATCGGCTTTGGATGAGTAGAGTGAGCACAAGACTCTCCAGGGCCCTTCATGCTGGAGGGAGGCTCTCTCTGGGGACTCAGACGCTGGTCTCTGCCCTCTAAGGAATGAGAATTTGAGCACAGGAGTGGGGGGTCTGGAAGTGATTGGACTGAGGCCGGCCACGGGTTTAGAAAGCTTCCCGCTTCCTTCGTCCGTCCTCTCTTCCACCGGGGTTTCCGGAGCAGCAGAAGCCGGATGCAGGCGGCTGGAGGACGTGTGCTTTGCTTCGGGCCTGAGTTGGCACATGTTGTCTGGGCTCCCCAGGGGTCCCCGCATCTTAGAGGCAGCTGGCTCCTCTGAGACACTCGTCTCGAGGCCAGAGGCACAACGCAGTGGCTTCTCGAGGACACTGAGGCAGGGTTCTTGGAGCTCAGGCTCTGACTCATGGGTGGGAGCTTCACGGACCCTTGTCCTCAAGCCTGAGGGCTGCTCCTCCGAGCTGGCGGCTTTCCAGCCAGGCCCTGTTTCCATGGCAGGCCTCCCAGGGGCCCCTGAGGAAGGCAGCCTCCCTTGAGGGAAAGGGCTCTCCTTAGTGCCGGGCAGCTCCCTCAGCACCCCGCGAGGACACACACTGGCCGTCTCCTCCTCCCCACTGGGAGACTGCCCTCTGCTCTTTTGGGAAAAGCCCAGGAGAGCTACATATTCTCCCTCCAAGTCCTGGATGACCACATCATGCAACCTGAGAGCCACCTCCCCAGGCTTGGCTTGTTCCACCTTGATGAGCCCCGGGTACTTGTTGCTGTAAGTCCTGCTTCTACCCTTGGTCAAACTCCGCGCAAGAAGCTCCTGGCTGCCCGAGGGCCTGCCCGGCTGCAGCTCTTGAGGGCTGCTCAAATCAAGAGCCTCTAACTGAAGGGACCCCCAGGCTGGGGAGAGAGCATTCAGGGCGTGGGGCCTGTCATCCACAAACTCTGGACTGGCTATCTTCGTCCAGGGCACGGGGGCAACCCCATCCTCAGACGCTACCAGGCAGCTGTGGAGGGGACTTCCCTCAAAGTCACTGTTGACGGCCTCCAGCCATGCTTGGGTGAAAAGCATCGGGTAAGATGATGCAGGAACAGGTTTCGTGTCCACTGTGCGGAGGTCCGAGGAGAGACGTTTGACCATGATGCTGACAGACTGCTCCTCCTGGAGTTCCACTTGGAGGTAGAAGTCTCCCTGGCGCAGTAAGAGGGGGTTGAGGGGTGCCAGGTGGACCACGACCTCGCCCTGCAGGCAGAGTGGCCAGCCCGCGTGCAGGAAGAGGCAGTGTGAGTACGGAGCCTGCAGAGAGGAGAGGGGTCAGCAAATGGGTCCGGAAAGGCTCCCCCGGTGGCCATACCTCCCGCCCTTTCCTACAGGGAGTCTTGGACATGTTGGGGGCTAGAGGAAGGGAAGGGGGGAGCCTAACATGTAGCATTTCAGGATCCCTGCGCTGGGGTCCTCACACAGTTCTGAGGCTGAGCAACTTCTCACTGGTACATCTTCTGTGCGATTCCTGTACCTCTCCAGTCCTGGCCCTGACCTTGAAAACACATGCTAGGCTACTGGCTCAAAGGAGAAAATCGAGAAAATCTTTTTTTCTTTTTTTTTTTAAAGATTTATTTATTTATACAGAACTGGGGTACAGGCCAGAGGTACAGGGGCGGTGAGAGGAGTCACCAGAGACAGAGTGGGGAGCAGAACAGGCTGGCCGACGAAGTACACTGCTGAGGGGACCCGGGTGGGGGGGGGAGTCAGGAGAGGTCTGCCACGCCATGGGGTCCCCTCCGGGGTGGGGATGGAACTCATGCTGAAGTGGCTTTAGACTCTCAGTGCTGTGCTTTAACCCACTGCGCCACCAGGGAGGGTCTCCAGGGAGAAAATCTAAGTGAGCGGGCAGTGATTAGCTCACGGCGTGTCCACCAGCATCACTGTGCTCGTCCATGCTCCCTTCTCGTTCCCATCTATCCCAAAGTTCTCTCAACACAGCTCAAGCCTCTCTATTTGCAAGTCCAAGATACATGGGTTCTGAGGTCCAAATTGCTAATTTGTGCAAATTACTTAAAATCGATATTTTGAGCCTCCATTTCCCTATCTGCAGAAAAGAATAACAACTCATATATATCAGTATTATTGGATTGGCGTGGGGATTAAGTGAGAGAAAACCTAACACAATGCCTGGCATGTAAGAGCTAGTAGTCAATAAATATTAATTCCATCTGCTCTGACATTTACCCTTTAAAAAAATTGTGGGGATTTCCAATTAAAAAAAAATTAGAAAGGTCATTTACCACTTTTATACTGTTCTTTAATTCTTCAGTAGCGCGCTTACAGAGTGAAACAATGCTGAGTAAGAAGTCAGGAAATCTGTCCTTGCCACGAACTTGCTGGATGGCCTTGAAAAAGTCATTTCACTGTTCTGGTCTAAATGTTTACCATCTGCTTGTTTATTTACTTGTTTGTGCATATTTCCCATTAGTGGCAAGATCGCAGGTGAGGCAAAACTTCAAAATATATATTGTTTTTAAACAGGTGAGGATGCTGGCAACTCTCTGTGGAGGTAGACACAGCTCACCAGCCTGGAGCTGGCCTGCTCCTGGGTGAAACTCAGTGAGCTCCCTCCACTAGGCTGTGCAGGAACAGTGCTCAACAGTGACACCAAGTGGCGGCAAGGGAAACCACAGCTCCACCTGCCAGACAACAGGTCTTTCTCCTGCCAGCTTTTGGAACAGAATTTGACTCCTGCTGATTAAGCCCGGGACAACTTTATACAACTGGATGGTATGAGGGTGACCTTGAGAGAGTGGTACTGAACTTCCTGCTCATTAAGGAGGTGTTTCTTGAAATGATTAATTGAGGGAATAGTGAGATCTGACCATACTTGAACCTACACAGTGGATAAACCAGCTCAGTTGCACTTTAGATCAGACTGCCTCGGACAGCCTAGTGGCCATACACCTTCCTGTCTGTGAGTTACTCCTTTCCTTTCACTTAGCTCTGCGCTTCACAACACGCTTTCCCCCTTCTCATTTAACAACACAAAACAGCCCAGTGGTATTTTGCAAACAGCAAAGCACCACCGACGTGACCGTTGTGACTCTCACAGTAACTCAATGGTGTAGGCAGCTCAGAGATGTGCAGAGATTGGCTCACGGTCACACAGCTGGTGAGCGGCAAACGCAAGACGCCTCCCTAAGCCTTCACATTTGCAGTTTGCTGTGTGTGTCCCCAGTTCCCACCAGATCTCATTTGAGGGAGGCTGCCTGCCTCCAGGCACTGGAGGTAGCAAAGGCAGATTTTGTAACTGACACGTTCTAATTTCAGAGGGAAGAGGAAGTGGGCGAGGTAGGCCAGCAGCTACCGAGCTTACTGCAGGCCAGATTTGGTGCCCAGCTGTGTGCATCATCTCTGGGGGCAGGTCTGTGTGAGTGCTGTTCCCGTCAGAAAGCTGAGGCTCAGAGCCATGCTATGGATCCCCCACAGTCTGAGGGATGGAGCTTAAGAGCCCGACTCCTGTAGCACAAGCTTACCCAACTACCACCTCTTCCCTGAGATGACACAAATTGACCTACAGTTATAAAGCTAACTGCCTATCATTTAAGTTTTTAGGCCCTCCCTGGTTGCGCAGCAGGTTAAAGCACAGCACTGAGAAGCTAAAACCACTTCAGCATGAGTTCAACCCCCAGCCCCAGACCTCTCCTGACCCACCCACCGGTCCCCTCAGCTGTATACTTCGTCAGTTGGCCAGTTCTGCTCCCTACTCTGTCTCTGGTGAATCCTCTCACTGTCCCTGCACCTCTGGCCTGTACCCCAGTTCTGTATGCATAAATAAATAAATCTTTCTTTTAAAAGTTTTTAATTAAAAATAGACATCTGGCCCTCCCTGGTGGCACAGTGGATTAGGATGCAGCGTTGCATCTAGCCACAGCCGCTTAGGTGCAAGTTTGATCCCCGCCTGCCCCAGAGGTGACCCACATGGTGCGGCAGACCTCTCCTGACCTGCCTGCTGCTCCCCTCAGCAGTGTACTTC